GTACTTGAAGGGCAGGTGGGGGTCAGAATAGTGATAGAGATGCAGCCGTGTTAGTCTGGTGTAGCTGAAACAAAATGCAGGACAATGTAGCACTTTAAAGACTAACAAGATGGTTTATTAGATGATGAGCTTTCGTGGGCCAGACCCACTTCAGCAGAGCTTACAGGGTCTGGGGCAGTGGTGCCAGGTGGCTGGGGAGGAGTCCAGCAGGTAGGCTGGCACCCCCCCTACTCCCATCCCTCCTATGCTCCTGCAAAATCCCTTGTCTGGAACAAGTCAGGTCCCAAGAGTGCCAGACCCAGGGAAGTCCAACTTGTAACAACATCGACTGAAGAAGATACCTTGTTTAAGTGGTGGTGTGCATTTGACCACTCTTTTCCATGTTGCTGGTGAGGATCGATCTTTCCTACAGCAAAGCAGCTGTAACCCCCACAGGTCATTGAACCTAGAAAATTGCACCAGAAATGTGCAAATGAGGCTAAGTGTGGAATATCACCAAGCCTCATTTGCATACCTAAGGAGCTGCCACTTTTGCAGAAGAGGCTCTTGCACCAGAAGGAAATGTCTACACTGCCCCTTCTTGTGCAAAAATGGTAGCTCCTTAGGTATGCAAATGAGGTTCAGCACTATTCCACACTTAGCCTCATTTGCATATTTCTGGTGCAAGAAGCCGTGAGTGTAGACATAGCCCTGGAGCTTGACACCCATGAGTTCACAGCCAGCTGGCTCTCAGTTAAAGCTGCAAAGCACTCAGTTTTCTCTCTAACTGATCTTGGTGCCACTAGATGGGAGTGAACCACATGCACAAGGTGTGTGGGTAACACAGCAGAGAGAAAACATTTTCAAAGAAAGAGTAAAAGAGTGCAAAACCACAACAATTACCACAAAGATGTAAGGACTGATGTGAAATCCATTGTGTCACCATCTTTGCCAGAAGCTAGGAATGGGTGACGGGATGCATCACCCTGTTCTGTTCATTCCCTCTGGGTCACCTGGCATTGGCCACTGTCAGAAGACAGGATACAGGGCTGGATGCACCTATAGTCTGACCCAGTTCTCATGGTTGTTTTATCATGAGTCTCACAATATTCAGCATAGGTATGTACTACATTGAAGTGTACAATAGGAATAAAATGAGGTGCCCTGATTATCAGAAGTCCTGGGTACACCGCTACTACTGAAATAGGAAAGGATGAGTATCACAGAGCTGACAGGATAAAGTACAGTCGCTGGTTTACAACCCTGTCAAATCCCATGTTGCACACTCCCAATTCAAAGTAAGTTTCTGGCAGTGAAAAGCCTGAGTGGCCCCCGTGTAATGGAAGAGCTCAGAAAGCCAATGAAAAGAAAAAGTGTGTCTTTTAAATCTCAAGGGTTGTAAGCCAATCATGCTTTTGGGGATCCAGCTCTTGATTTTTGAATGCCTGGGGTCCCCACCACTGACTCATCAGGAGATGCAAACCAGCAGAGCTCCATTGACAATGAAGCTATGTTGATGCATAATGGCTGAGTATCTGGCCCAGTGTTCCCTGTAAGACGTGAACCTGGGCAGCCACCAAGGAGAGATTCAAGTTAGGGATGTCAACTGTTTAATTGTGATTTAACCTGTTAAATGAAATGTTCAGCCAGTTATCTGTGATCCCGGGGTGGGGGCTGCTGCAGCACAGCTGGGCAGAAGCTCCATCCCCATTCATGTGGGGACATTACTTGCGGTTCCCACTCCTCAGGGAACGAGGAGAAAGTGCACCATTGGCTGCATTCCTTACTCTGGCTCGGGAGCACCTCCTTTCTAGAAGAATGCAAGCTGCTGGAGCAAAGCTTCTGGTTTTACACTACGGCGACCCAAGCTGACAGCGCTCTGACTCCAAGTTTCCCTACCAGTATGTTATGCCCTGAAGGCATGTTTCTGTAATCAGTTCTTGACACTACCCCAGCCCACTTCCAAACAGGCTTTAATTGGGGACCTGGCAGCTTTCTTCCCCCAGTGTCTCCAGCACAGATGGCCACACCTAGCACTCTGCAGCAGGCTACTTGCAAAGTGCATTCTAGGAATAGCTGGGCAGCTATCCCAAACTAACCCAGTGCCCACAGGAGGGCAAAGAGCAGGGGCAATGCACTTGGCTGAAAGAGGACTGGTCAAACTAGTTTGACCTGAAACTGCTGATCTGGATATAGGAGGACAAGCCTGTGCCTGCATGACTGGTACAGACAACTCATTGTCAGCTGCCATAGTTCCTAAGCATTAGCCACATTCCGTGGCAGCACAGCCATGTGTAGAGACACCTGAGCCACTAGCCCTAAACGCTGCTCTAAGCTGTAGGGAACCCATGGCTCAGGACTCCGGATTGGGCTGGAGGGTGCAGTTGCTGGAAGGAATTCTCTATTCAATATTCATGCAGTGGCAGAAAGCCAGCTGCTTCCTGTCAGGTGCTCCATAACAGTCAGCTGCACACAGACCGTAGCAAACTCAATTTCTGTCTAACAGGGTGTTGGGAAAGGGGGTAAAGATCTGCCCGAATTAAAATCCTCCCCAGAGTCGTCTATTGGCCACAAATCCAACTGAAGCAAAGGTGGCTCTGCAGCCCCTGCACCAACAACCTTAAGAATAATTAAATTTCTGTGTGTGGTGAGAAAGACTTCAGGACACAAATAAATCCAGCGGAGATTTTCTTCCTCCAAGGAAAGTTTTGTTCCTCTTTTATTAAAAATAATAGAGTAGAGGGTGTGGGGTTTGGCTCATGCAGTAACTGGGGTCAGTACCTCCAATGTGTAAAGAAAGTCTCTTTACTCCCCACAACTAAAGTTAGGAGCCATAGAGCCATGACCTGTGCTCCTACCACCTGGGATCTTCCCGCAGCCTCCAAACTTGGTAGCTACAGAACAGAGGATAAAGAGACACGAAGAGGGGAGTTCCCAATATTTGAAGGACCGGGTTAGGAAGTTTAGGGAAGCAGGCATGGAACAAACGATGCTTGATAGGGGTCTCACCAGGCTGTTTGTGATTTGTACAAGTTTTGTCTGAAAAAGTTTTTCCAAGTAAAGGCCAGAATGTACCGGCCCAGCCCCACTACGGAGAGGAGAGTCCTCAGTGCATCTTTCTTTTCCAGAGTCTCTCTCCCTTCGAGTCCTCCCCTCAAGCCCAGAGTCATGGTGCTCTTAAGTGTTAAGCTGTTGGGAGACTGTACCAAGGGGAGTTAGCCTTGCTGGGCACATGATCACAGCTCCGGGGAAGACAGCTCATTCTGCCCCTGCAGGCTAGGCATCTTGAGTTCTGCATTGTTCCGGACCACAGTGAAGAGGCTAACAACGGCCAGCAATGCCATCACCATCATCACAGAGCATATGGTAAACATGTTCCTGGTGCCCGTCTTGTAGTCACTGTCATGAAGAATAAGCATACCCAGGCAAGCCAGTAGGTTCAGGGGGATGCGGAACCAGTTCATCACACCTACCTGGTCCTTCTCCGGGATCACTTTCTGCCTGAGGAAGCCCATGGCAGGGAAATACAACCCACAGGAGAGTTCTATGAGCAAGAAGGCCAAGAAGGACTCAGAAGGGTTCTCCTGGCCAGGGTTGGTGGAGAAAGTGAGCATGAAGAGGGAAAAGAATACCATCAAGACGGAGAGAGAAAGGATGTGCATGGGCTGGAGGTGGTACCTCTTGGAAGTGGCAATACGGTACAGTGACGACCCCATCATGCTGGCAGCCATGAAGCTGGAGAAGACAATGCCCAGAGGTGGGTTGTGGGGATCGAGGACGGGCGTCCAGAGGAAGATGAAGATGTAGATGACACTTTCAAACAAGGCCTGGATAGTGCCCAAGAGCAGGACACGCCGGTCAGACAGGAGACACTTCAAACCATCAACGCAAGTCTTGGACAGCGCCCGCTTCTTGCCATGGTTCTCATCCCAGTTCTTCATGGCAAAGATGCCGGTCAGCATAAGGAAGGGGATTGAGACCATGAATGGGGCCACGGGGCCCAAGCCCAGCCACTCAGCAAAGAAGTTGGCTGTCACCCCTGCTCCAATCGCGATGACATTGTTCCAGAAGGCTGCCCTCGAGAAAGTGGCCGGGATCCACTCTGCTGGGAAGTCATGCCGTTCCACGTGCTCATGCACGTACCACGCCTCAAAGGCAGAGAACAACAGGGCTGTGGACAACCCCCCTAATATCCTCCCCACTACCAGCACAAAGTAATCCCAAGAGAGCTTGGTGAGACAGCAGACTGAGTAGGTCAAGGAGAAGAGGATGCAGGATTTCTTGCGGCCCAGCCAGTCGACCAAAGAGGTGGAGACCAATCCGAAAAGCACACTGGAGGCAAAGCCGCAGACATAAATTATGGCAATCTGACCCTCCAGGAAGTGATAATGTTGGTAGAGTTTATAGAGATAGGGGCCCTGTAGCCAGTCAGCAGCCAGAGCCAGGAAATACACTTGGTAGTAGTCCAGTTGGAACCGCAGGAAGGCAGGGTTGGTACAGGCACTGCCAGTGAGCTTGGCACGGCAGGCGGAGAACTCCAAACCGATGCAGACTGCCAGCAGGACAGCAAAGGCCACATATGCAGTGACTAACATGGTGCCTCAAAACATCATGTGCATCCACTGGGCTCTACTCCAAAGCACCTGAAAGAAGAGCAGAGCAGAGCATGCGGTGAGACATGGGCGGGAGAGCCACCCTTACCAGATTTAGGAGTCAGGAGAGGCAGCAGCCCCAAGAGCAGAACCGTGTGTGATGTATGGCACTGCGGCCACCCAGGCTTTGCTTGGAGACTTAACCTCAGGATCCCCTGCACATGGGTGGTGGGGGAACGAGCCTGCCCTGTGGGATGTTCTCTTCCTCTTCAAGCCCTATGGCCCTTCAGCTCCTAGCCTCTGAAACGTCAGCATCATAAGCCCACTTTGCCCTTGAGGGTCAAGGGCAGATGAGACAGACGATCAGAAGTGCAGCCAGGGAATGTTCATGCAAGGTGGCCCAAGCGGAGGGGAACAGGTATGAAACTGGGAGTCGGGATGAAATTAAACAAAGGGACACTTGGGCTAAGAATTAGGGAAACTTTTGGGACAGATCTATCAGACTGTGGAAGAGTCTCCCCAAGGAAATACTGGAAGCACCAATGCTTAGGGTGTTTAGAACTGGACAGGATAAAGTGTGATGAATACACTGCAGACAGCCCTCCTTCTCTCAGTAAAGAACCTCAAATCCCAACAGCAGGCCAGATCTCTCTGATCTAAGTTAAGTGACTTGCCCAAGAGTCACACAGGAAGTCTGTGTCTGAGCTGAAACTGAAGCTGGGTTTCCTGAATCCCAATCCAATAGCCTCACTATACCAGACCTATGCCCCTTCCCATCTTGTTTCACCAGGGTTTAACCACAACTAGCAACAACACTGACTCCAACTTGTCTTTATCTACACTGACTATGAAGTCACGGGACATAAGAGTTCAGCTAACTGGACTCTGCACAATTAGGTAGCAACACAAGGACATGTGGAAGTGAAGACAAAGCCACAGATGGTACAGTTAGTTTCATGATCTTTGATACTTCTTCACTGTGAATGGATGCAAAGTTTTGGGTACCCACAGACTGTTGGCCAGAGTAGCTAATGCATGGAACCAATGCCAGGAAAAAAATCATATCCTGTTTTCCTAGCCTTAGGTCATATGGGAAGATAATAGCCTCAGTGAAAAGAAAAAAAAATCATGTGATCTGCTCTGTGATATTTGTAGCTCTGTGGTTGGGTTCCTGAAAGAATGATCCAGTAGGTCAGTGGTTCCCAAACTTTTTGGCATCACGCCCCCTTTTTGATTTGAGAAACCCTCACCCCCCACCCCAAATAGCAGCACAACTTGTTGAGGGGAAAAAAAACCCCCACGAACTGACCGGGGCCAAAAAACAAAAATAGCAGCAAAACTTAGGGGGAAAATTTTGATTTTGGGCCACACACACACCGGAATTTCCTCAAGTCCCCCCAGGGGGCACACACCCCAGTTTGGGAACCCATGCAGTAGGGGCACTTGAATTGGAGATTTTTAACTTCCCACTTGGCATGTTTTAACAGGAAAAACTACAAAAAGGCACTACCAGTTTTAAAGCCAACCCTCACACCCAGATTACCATGGAGTGGCTTCCTTTAGGTCTCTTAGAAGTGACAAGATTGCCAGAAAGTGCCTGGAGTGCTCTCTTCCATTAATCTGGGTATAGCATTGATAATGCCACCCCTCACACCTGTGTCTTCCTTCACCTCATTCTAAATCATGCTTCAAAAGCTCTTACTGGGTTTCTTTGTAGCTCTTTAAAAGGCAGAGATCTTGTTGTTTGTAAAGCAATGGTGAAAAATACTAGACTGAAAACTGAGGTAAACATTCAGTTTAGTCAGAGGAAGAGCAGCACAGCTAGCATCACCTGTGTTGCCCTGCCCACATGCCTCCAACCTACCCTGAAGAGATTCTTCTGATCAGAGTGACAGAGCAGGTTAGCCTGCATACTCCATTCTCTGTTCAGCCTATGGGCTGAGAATGGCAACCTGTGATGAGGACGTCTGTGTTCTGGTCCGAGAACTGGAGCCTGGCAAATTTGTGGATATCTGCGGCTCGTTTTTGCAGATACAGATGTGAATACAAAGTGTGTATGTGCACAGGGCTCTACTGAGAGAACCTCTTGCAAACTCGTGCAGGAGATCCAAGCTTTCCTCTGACCAGCACTCTCCCACTGGAGCTCAAAGATAAAATAGAGGACAAACCAAATGTGAAAGAGCCTGAGATTGCTAGGGGGCCAGTGTATCCAATAAGATTCTAGTGGAATCATCATCACGTTGATTCCTGTCCCCTGGAGAAACACACTAGAATAGAAACACATTCTGCTGAAAACATGGTCTAAGTGGCAAGTGAAGCCCTGTTAATGGCAGAAAATATTTCATCACAAGAGAGCACTGTACATATTGGGCTTGGTAAGGGAGATGATGAATCACCTCCACATCTCTCCAGACCCCCTTGGGAAAAGGCAAACCTGAGCGGGGGAACCAGATGAATTATGGGCTCAGCTCCCACTGGCAGGCAGCTCCACCTTGCTCAGACACACCACACACAGGCCTCTCATAGCATGTCTTTCCCATTCCAACCCTCCACTCACAGCTACACAGGCTTCCCCCACCCCCCACAAGGGCTTGCCTCAGACCCTCCCCAACTCATTCTGCATCCTAACAAGAAGCACCCCCTAGCTCTGCTCTCTCCAAGTACACCACTCCCCCAAAGCCTGAGCCTCCCTCGCCCCTGAAAACTCCCACTTGAACCCCCCCTCTCAACCCTCACTGCTCCCTAAGCCCCCTCTTGCTTCCCCTCCCCCACCAGCCTCCCACTCCTCCTACTGCCT